CGACGCTGATGAGAGTGTCCGTTACGAAGTCGTGATGGCTATTGTGACAACTGCAAGACGAGACTTCGAAGTCGTGTCGGATAGTGAGGATTTACTTGAATTTGTCAAAGAAAGAACATTGGACAAAAAGGTAAAATATTAAATCCATGAAATTGTCTAAGTTTAAAATTAAACATTACAACTTGTGACTTGAACTTACTAATGATTATATTTCCAGTTTAAAATACGAAAAGAGGCGATGTCTGGATTAGCTATGATATACAAGAAACATCTGAATGATGCGGATGTGCCACAGGCAACAAAGAAGGCAGTTATATGGATAAAAGATAAAATATTGCATGGTTATTATATGGCAGGCATGGAAGACAGATTGTTAGTGGAGAGATTGCTAAATACATGCTTAGTACCTTATCAGCTAGCTGCTGAGGAAAGAATGAAAAAATTGTACCATCTCTTAGGTACAATTGATGACTATGCTTCCAAAGCTTTTGTGGAACTTCAGAAGCATCAGCTTGCGTATGTGTTATACATTAATTATTTTAATTTGTATATGATCATAAAAAAAAGAACATTTTTCATTTTGATACAAATTGATTATGTATATATTTAGTGTGCGAAGAGCAGTAGTCGAGTGGATAGATATCGTGAAAAAACCGGATGCTAAAAACGAACTAGTGACGAAGATTCATCAGATATCGCGCTTTTTGCCAGATCCTATGAAAGTGCAAGAGTTTCTTCAAAAATTTAGCGGTCACATGAAGAAGGATGCTAGGTTATTGCAGGAAATGGAGACGATCGTACAACCGAATGTTTCCTGTAAGGAATGTGCTGAAACGATAACTAAAGTCCTCAAAAAATTAGGACAGCCTGTTATGACTAATTTATATTACAACACGATTAAGATGTTACTCGAAAGAGTAAGCTCTGTTATGATTGATGAAGAGGCAATTAGGGTAGGCATTTTATTTTCGAAAATGTCTATTTTTATATATATATATATATATTTAATTTCTGAAGAAACATATTTCACAAGAAAATTTTTTTAGGTTTTGATAGGATACGTCTTAGATTGTTTGAAGGGAGGTAACGTGATAGAAGAGGTCGGCCTTAACCCAAATAATGCCGGCGAGAAAGGGTTGAGATTATTAGTGGTAAGTCGACATTTTTATATTCTTAAATATAAATGTTTATAAATATATATAATGTTTATATATATATATATATTCATTTTAAAACAAACTTTTAATAAATTAAAATTATATTTTGTAATTACATTTTGTAATTAGAGGCGTACATTATCCGAAATATTTTAGATGCTGTCGTTTGTATTTGGCTCGCATTTCCTGCATAATGATATTTTGATGCAACTGGTCAATCTGCTCGAATTAGAGGACGAAATGGTGGCACCATTAGTTCTTTCCATCTTCACATTTTTGGGAAAATACAAACCTTTGCGCGATGTAGCACCAGATATCATGAATCTTATGGTGCCAATATGCAAGAACTTCGCCGAAACGGGAACACCAAAGCAGGCAAAACAGGCCGTGAGATGTTTATTCGTTAACATGACTAACATTCACGACACCATTTTCCCCGAAATCATCGAGAGAATTAAGAACACGCTAACACCGACATCGGAATATTATCGAACGTCTATAGTCACGTTAGGTCATATAGCATATAATTTGCCGGATAAATATCAAATACAAATAAAAAATATGGTTTCCAGAAAAGTAAGTGAAAACAAAGTTGTAACATTAATGAATTTCTGGGCACTTTACACAATTGTTATACATATGAGACACAATCTTTATTTCTGCAGATAGTTAAAGAATTACTAGTGAAGGAAAGCAGCGAGCAAACCTCCGAGATTATGGAGGGAGACTGGTGCAGAGAGGATCAATTACCTGAAGAGACACGATGCAGATTGGAAGGCTTAAAATGCATGGCGCGTTGGCTGTTAGGATTAAAGAGCGACGTGTTATCAGCGCAAAAGACGTTCAGAATGCTAAATGCCTTCATGGTGAACAAAGGAGATCTGCTGTCGCAGGGACGGCTAAGCAAAGCTGAAATGAGTTGGTTACGATTGCAAGCGGGTTGTTCAATGTTGAAAATATGCGAGCAGAAGGGCGTCGGAGATCAATTTACCGCAGAACAATTTTACAATCTTTCACAACTCATGGTGGTATGTTTGGTACAAACATATATTTTTTTAATATTTAATATAATGAAAAACAAGTTTTAATTGTAATTAATAAAATTTATTTAATTGTATTGACTTGATATATAGGATGAAGTTCCTCAAGTCAGAGAAGCTTTTGGTAATAAATTGCACAAAGGTCTTGTAAGAGGAATTCCAAATAAATGTTTGCCACTGGATTTCATGGGATATTACGCACTAGCTGGAAAAGAACAAGACAAAAGGTTAAAATGTTTACTGAAAACATATATGCAAACAGACATAAATAAGAGGAGGGATTATGTGAAGACACTTTCATTGGGTACCGTCGAGCGAGCTATGGGTAAGAAATTAATTAGTAAAGGATAATCGAAATAAATTATTTATAAATGTTTTTACTATTTCATTACTCTAAAAATTTTTGCTATTTAATGATTTTACAGGTCAACTACCCCATATTTTGCCAGATTATATGTTGGTTTTTGCGGTAGCTATTCTTGCGCATGATCCCGAATTTACGAGCCACATAATGGTCAGTCAGTTAAAAATTATTCAACAATGTCTCTGGTTTATTTTGGAACCTCTCATCACAAAGAACGAATATTATTGTTACGGATTTTACAAAAATCTCGTAGAACGTATGAAAAGTCATAAGGACGCGCTCAACCCTGAAAACAACACAATGAATTATGTAATTATCACAAATTACTTTTGATATTATCTTTTTCGATAAAATAATTCATCAGTAAATTAATTTACATTTTTGTACACATACATAGAAATTGTGGGCCGTTTGTGATTTGGCGATGAATGTAATATACACAAAGACTACCAATTTCGACATGAAGGAGTTTCCAAGCGAGACACGAATACCCACAATGTACTTCAAACGAGTGGACGATATGGTGGCTAATACTAAGAATTATTTACCCGCGGAATTGCAAGTGAATATGACGAATCCAAAAGGAAAGGGATCATTCCACAATACACATACAGTCAATGAGAAATCACAACGCAGAACTAAATCTAAACAACAGAAGGAAGTGGGCATTGGACCTAATGAAACAGATGCAAGGGTAAGATAATTTTTTAAATAGTTCTACAATTGCTTATAGAATATTTAGTTTGCTTAATTTAATTCATAATTAAATATAGACATAGACATTTATATTCATTAAATGACGAAATATATATAGTAGATTAAAAAATTAATTGTGAAAAATGTCACATTTAATTCTTCGGATATGTATAATTTTAATGATTTCAAGCTGCAAATTGGAGAAATGGAATGTATCGATGCACAGGTAACTTGGATATAACGTTAGAATAATATATGCTCTTGTGAAGGCTTTCTTTTAAATACTCTAATATTTAGATGTGAATATGTTTGATTGTTTAAGTAAATTTATTTGCAGCCTGCCGAGGCATCAGAGACCAGAATTCAATTACCTGGCTTGGAGGAGGAGGTAAGTTGATTTCTGCCTTAAAGCGAAATTTCTTGAAAATATTGATAAAATTGCTTTCTAATCTTATTTTTCACACTTACTTTTAGATTGAGGAACCACCAGCAAAGAGGGCATTAAGGGAGTCGGATAAAGTAAATAAATAATTCAGTGATTGGACTATACCCGGGGAATATTGGGATGGGGAAAGACTTAAAGAGTATGTGAGGATAAGAAAAAAAATTAAAGGATCTAAAAAATACTTTATAAATTAGAAAACAGAATATTTTGGTTATGTATAACGATTAATAAACCTAAGTCGTTCGTGTATCTTTAGAGTGTAAGATATTAAGATTATGACACATTAATGTCAGGCTTTACAATGCAGAAATCTCTTTGGACTTGCAACTTGTGAGTAAAGAAAAAAAAAGAAGTGGAACAAAAATGTTATCAATTTCTCACAGGTAGATACGAATCCGTAAATTTGTTTCATGTTGATAACAAAATACTGAATTATATTCATACTTCTCCTTAATTTTACGAATTACAAAATTTGAGAATTATATGAACATGAGAATTGTTTGTAAATTATATAATGTATTTCTTGGATTGATATGCTCTTTCTTTTTTCGCATTTGTTTGTTCACTTGATATTGCATTCACTTTTACACTAAGAGATAAAGATCGTTCTTTGTTTCTTTTTACTTTGCAAACATCTAATTACGACATTGTTTTGCTTGAAAAATAGTATTCAGTTTAAACAGCAAGTATATATAAACAATATTGTCAACATTAATAAATGAATTAAGCACATACAACTCCATTTTCTGCAAAAGGAATATATCCAGATATATCAAATATATCGTCACTTTATAAACAACAAAAGAAAACACTATAGTTTTGTTGCATAAACAATATATTAAATAAGAAGTTGTGTGTTTATTGGCTTTGTGATCCAAAGTTGTTGGTTTTTAACAATACGATTATCGCCACATTTTAGTCGCGATTATTATAATTGATACACATTAAGTATGACCTATATGTGTAATAATGAAAAAATGAATATTGCGAGAACTTGTGTGAAAACCTTCAACTTTTGTATTTATAAATAAACATAAAATTAAAATTATATCGATTGCAAACGATTATTGTGTAATACCTTAATTTAAATTAATGTACATGCAATTTTTACTACACATGTGTATTTTTACATATTGTATTTACATGTGTATTTTTAACGTCCTTTTGAACGTTATTGTTTCGATTTTATTTATTAAATATTCCTAAATATTCGAACAATATAAAAATTTTTTAGTATGAATTTTAAATAAAGTTTAAATCAAGTGAACCTAGGTTTTAAAATACTTAAGTTCTCAACATTATAATTATCAAATTTAAACATTTAATATTATATTAGATCTAAAAATGAATGAAAATTGCGAACAAATTCATGAATGATGAATGATTGAAATCGTATTAATAATTATAGAATTAACGTATCTATTATCTTTTCATAGAAATTACAGTACAATGCAATGTTCAACTATGCGTAATTTTTCAGATTTGTGAAAATATAGAAATATTTATATAATGTTATTTTTTCTCTTACATTGTCATTAATATATATTTTTCATATCATTTTTCTCTCACTAGAAGTATATATTTCTATCAATAAATATCATTATCCATTATACTTCTCTATTGAAATGATGCAAGTATGCAATTATTTTTCTGCATAGTACTGCAATTTTTTCAAACAGTTCATAAACTACGAAAAGTATACATAATCTGATTAAACAATCAATCAGTGCTATTCATCTGTCAATCTGTGAAACGTATCGCGTATTGTATAATCATTCTATAATAAAACACACACAAATTTAATAATATGCCATGTATTTAATTATAGAATTATGTTACATTATAAAATTAACGTTTTTTAGAAAATATTTTTTGGCCTTTTCTCGCTACATTTTTTTGTTGCATTTTAGATGTATTTTGTTTTTTCATAACATTTGCCCTAAAATATATAATAAAGATTAATATACACTGTATATAAAGATTAATATACTATATATATATATATATAAACAGAGAGAGAAATATCTATATCTTTTTTTATCTTTCAATTTTGATAAAAAGATACTCACTCATATCGCATTCTTTTGACACCTTTTTTGCTTGTGTCCGTTAGATCAGTGGCAAAGGACGATCTTGATCGTTTCAATGATCCTGAAATAACAATTTGTTAGAAGAGAGAAATTTTGTCGATATTATAAAATAATAAAAAACTGTACCTTTTTTAGTAAAGTCACGATTATATTCATCCATAACTACTCTAATCTTCTTTTGCTTGTTGTTCTTTTTGGCTAGTCGCGCTTGATAGGCAGCTATCTTTTCCAATTCTCTCTTAGCTCTATCTTCGGCTGTATCCTTCTTAGGTTCGTTTTGCGTTTTCTTCTTTTTTTCTTCCACTATGTTGGAAGGTTGCTTTTCAGGCTTTTTACTTTTGTGAACTTTTTTTTTACTTAATCGAAGATTATCTGAAAGTATACAAAAAATTTCAGTAGTTTACGTGATTGTATACTACTATTAGAGAGTAAAACGCAAAATATATTAAAATGTGTCACACATCTCTTGTTTACCTTTTTCTTTCTTTTTTTCGTTTCTAGTTTGGAACCAACTTCTCTGACATCCCTTGACATTTTCATCTTTAAGTAATTTCTCAACACGATTAGCTTGATTCTCTATTTTAGCCAATTCTTTCTCATTCTTTTCTTCTTGTAAAATTCTTTCCACATCTGCTTCCAGTGATTGTAATTTCTTATTGTATTTTTCTATTATGTCAGGTGGTATTATTCTATTTTTGATTGGATTTTTTGCTTGCTTAATAATTTCTTTCACTAAAAAACGTTCCTGTTCACCAGCTAATGATACAGAAACACCTCCACGGCCTGCTCTTGCAGTTCTCCCAACTCTAATAATTACAAAAAATAATTTTTTTGTTGTATCTCTGGTATATGAACTGTGTTAATTAGAAATTATACCTGTGTATATAATGTTGTAGAGTAACAGGCATCACAAAATTAATCACAGTTTTTACACCGCTTATATCCAAACCTCTTGCAGCGACATCAGTTGCTAATAAAATATCAATTTCTTCCTCTTTAAATTTCTGGAGATTTTCCAATCGCTGTGGTTGTGTGAGATTACCATGAAGTTCTCCAACCTGGTTAAGTATAAGAAAAAAAGAAATAAAATATATAAATGTAATTATTAATTTCATTAATATTAAAGATTTATATACTTTCAAGCCTAATAATCCCAATAAAATATGCAATCTATGGGCTTGTCTTTTTGTTTGTACAAAAATCATCGTATGATCATGAAAAGTTCGACAAACTAATGCTGCTAGGATTGCTTCACGATCTCCTTCTCTTTCCTTACGTATGCTAAAATTACATTTGTTAAAAGTAATAAAAAAAAAAGAGTAATAATAAAAAATATGAAAATATTATTATAAATGAATTTTACTTACCGAATAAATTCTTGGCGTAGGTTAAAGGCTACATCTTGATTGCTATCCACAAATATTTTAATAGGTTTGTCGAGAGATACTGCTGCTAAATCTTTGACTTCTTCTGTCATAGTAGCAGAGAAAAGGATAGTCTGTCTGGTTCTTGCACATTGCTTAACAATGTATTTCATTTGTTCAGCAAAATATTCATCTAACATTCTTAAATTAAATATATAGACTAAATTATATATATATACATATTTATATATACAAGAATATATTCTTATATTAATTATTTTTTACCTATCAGCTTCATCTAGAATTAATACTTCTATATTGTTCAACGAAAAAGTAGGTGCATTTTTTAAGTGATCAATTAACCTTCCAGGAGTTGCTATTACAATATCTGGATTTTTTCTCAATACACTTTCCTGCATTATAAAAATATGGTAAATTTATTAGGTGTGTTATCTGATTGGAGATAATTTATATAAAAGAAGTTTATACAAAAGAGACAAAAGAACTCACTTGTATTTTCACATCCAATCCACCTACAGACAAACCAACTTCTATTGTTGTAAATTGAGTTAACTGTTTTGTTACTTGATAAACTTGTACTCCCAGCTCTCTAGTAGGTACGAGTACAAGAACACGTGAAACAGCAGGGCCATCCAGTGGCCTGTATAATAATCTTTCTAAAGTTGGGAGCATATAAGCCGCAGTTTTGCCAGTACCTGTTGCTGCACAACCACAAATGTCACGGCCCATTAAAGCTACAGGAATGGTAGTAGCTTGTATGGGAGTTGGTTGAACAAAATTCATTGCTGTTATAGCCTAGAAATTTGTAAAAATCAATCAGTATCTTTTACATCACACTTTTTTACCAAGTTCATTTACATATTTAACATATTTTCTTATATATTTAAAATATTATTGTGTGTATATATTATTTTAGTAATTATTTTACTAATTATTTATTACATATTTTGTATACCTTTAGCAAAGGCCTAGACAAATTCATTTGATAAAATGTAGAATATGTTTGAGAATCTGTATATTCCTCAAAATCAAGTGTTTCTTCATCATTTTCTTTAACAAATTTTATTTTCTTTTTCTTTTCCTTGGTCTTAATAGTATCTACAATAAATTAATAAATAAAATATATATATTTTATTTACACAGCCTCAAAAATATATAAATATTTTATAATAATATAATTAAATATTTTGTGTTGTACAAGCATAAGTAATGCCTATAGAATTTATAATTTTTACAAATTTGTTTTATCATGTAAATAAATTAAATATATGTATACCTTTTTTGAGCTCATCCTCAGATAGGGAAATGGTATCATCATTCTGATCTGTTTCTGGTTCAATTTTAATAGGATCATCTTCTGTTCCATCCTAACAAATGTAATAACAATTTCTTCTAAGTAATTTCAGACAAATTGTAATAATAATATTTGATACAATTTATGTTGCATGTCATTATAATTTTTGAATAATATAGATGATAATATCGCACACCTGCTTGCTATATTCCTTTCGAATCTTCTTTATCTTATCATCTAATTTCGCTTTTGGCTTACGTTTAATATATTTGCTCAGATCATTCCAAGGATCTTGATTGTATTCAGCTGCATTGCTTATAAATTCGAAGCTACTGTCAAAGTCTTTATTTCCTTTCTTTCTTTGCTTTCTTGGCTGAAACTAATAGAAATCTAATATTTATCCTTTTATTCAAGAACATATAAAATCGAAATTCTATTATGGACCCGGTATTCGTCGTTCGAAGGAAATCCGAAGGAATTCAAAAATCCGAGATAAAATAAAAATGTATTCATAAAAATAACAAATAACATCATGTGAAATAATGTTTTAATATAAACAAATACGTCTGCCTTATTTTTTAATACAATCATTTCAACTTACATCGTTTTCTTCGTCTGAACTTTCGGAATAAGGTTGTATAAACTCCATGTTGAAAATGGTTAGAACATATAATTAGGTTAGTTTCGCTTGATAGAAATTCCTCTACACTTGAAATGAGATAAATATATATTCAGACATTGAAAAGAAAGAAAGCTAAGAAAACTTGAGAAAACCTGTTTAGAAAGTGTAATGGCTCCTGCACACAGGACGGTAGCCAATCAATCTTTCGCTCGTATGGAAAAGTTGTAAGTTGATTGGCTACCGCGATCGCCTTTTGCCGCACGGCAAGCGTTGCCATATCCTGTATGCACGGTCCGTTCTATAATAAGTCGTATGTCGTTAAGCCCGTATCAGACTACGCATTGAAGATTGAGATTCAAGATTCGAGATTGAAATTTGGCCAATCAGGACAAAGAAATTTTAGTCCCTTTTGTTCTGATTAGTCAAATTTTAATCTTTAATCTTCAATCTTCAATTTTCAATGCGTAGTCTGATACGGGCATTAGTCATGAGCGTGGGCCACCAATAATGCAATGCAAAGAATCGATGTGTGCGCAGCCGCCATTGAAAAGAGATGTTAAATAAGGTAGATTGTTATTGGCTCTCGCGGCCCTTCGAAATGCATCATGGGTTGCTCAGTGGTATGCATAGTATCAATGGGCGCGTTCAGCAGAGAAAACCGCTCAGTAGCAATTGAACGTGATTGGCTCTTACTTTTAGAACCAACAAATCA